AAAATGCTCATCTAGCTTTATGCCACCTTTGGGCTTGCACAAGTATGCAAAGCAAAACACTAAAACTCAAGGCAGCTGCCATGGTCGGTATTGAGGAATCCCAACACAGGATTCAGTTTTAGTTCAGGATTCAAACTTCAAAATACTTGCGAGCAGCTGGACTTCCTTCCTTGAATGATCCCCAATACTTCAAGCAACAGCTATACACACATCTGTAAACTGCAGACTTGCAGTACAGCTATCTGTCCTTTTAATATTCAAAGCAACATGTCAGTGATAGCAAGTAAACAAAAATTACTGGAGATTATTCACCTGGCAGCAACATCCAACCTCAACAGGCTGCCAGTGTCTTCTGCACAATCCTAAAATAAACAAGGAGGTGCTGATACTGCTGAGTATGTGTTAAATGAGTTCTGCTGACCCACTGAGGCAGGTGGCTTGTAAGGAAACAAAAAATGACTTGAGTGGATTTGTTTCTACCTGGAACATGACTGGGGAGACTTCTCTGCCATTGCTGATGGAACCATTTTTTTTCCCCAGCATCATTCAACACAAGTGTTACTTCTTCTAATCAAGAAACTATATGTAAAGAACTTGGAAGATGTATTTGTTTTAGAAGCCTACCTGTTCTTCACACCTTCATTTGTCTCCATTTCAATGAGCCCTGTACCTTTATTTTCTCAAAATATAGTAGGTATTTAAAATTAAGTGTCACCTACCAATCTCGACTATACCAACAGAGAAACTAAACAATTGAAGTTTAGCCATCACAAGTGAAGAACAGAAAAATTACATGTATGTGCAGCAGAAGTTGTTAAATTGAGAATTCATCCAAGCTAGTAGCAGTAACTACAATAACCGTTTTTCATCATTTTACTTAGGTTTAAGTCTTTACGTTGTATTAAAGTATCTACACTGCAGTTTTTGAAAGCATTACTTACATATTCAAATCAGTCCTACTACTTCTCAATGCATTTACTAACAAGACCATATAACCATCATAGGCCATGAAAACACCTAGAACAATTTTACATGTGCTTGCTATTATTCATTTACTAATCCTTCAGTCACGCCCAATCTTCAAGAAATTGTTGTAAAATCTTTGAGCAAGCCCGCTTAAAGGCAAGTTCAAGTAAAACAAAAATAAAAACATTTCACATGCTTAAGTTATGTAAGGAGAGGAGGGCAGGGGAAGGGGGAAGTACAAGAGTGTTATTAAGTTCACTGTATATATCAGTATTACCTCATACAGCAGACAGCCTAGTGACCAGATGTCAGACTTGAAGTTGTAACCATTTTCATGTATTCTCTCTGGAGACATATAATAAGGTGTACCAACTGCAAAAAACCACAAGTATTTTTGAATGAACATTTCTGTTGTTACGCAGTAGTTAAATTACTGTTTTGCTGGCAGAAGAATATTTTTCATCTTTCTCATTTTTCTACACTCACAATTTCAACTCATACTTAAGACACTTCAGTTTGACAAAAATACACAGATTAGTATCTATTTCATCCAATATTTTCACTGCTCATTACCAAGCTATGCAGTTGTAGAACACTTCCAGATTTTGCTTTTCAGGAACCTCATAAGTAATTTGTTTCTCCTAAGGAGAACCAAGGGAAGGTACTACACACACAGCCCTGCTACTTCTCCAAACTGTTACCACTGTGGCTAGAAACAACAGCTAGAAATTCTCTACCATGGCCTGAATTTTTTGTTTCACAAGTTCTTCTTCTACATAAATCTGAAAAAGCTGGTTTTGGAACTAAAAAACATAGCCACTTTGAACAGCTGAAATTAAAGCTGAGCCTGAGATTCAGGCCTTTCAGAGGTGAGGGCAGGAAAACCAGCGAGCCCAGCAGAAGCTGAGGTTCCTAAGGGCAACTCAGCCATAAGCTGGAGCATGAAATTCCACAAGGGCTTTTCAGTTCCCAAACCTGTGCTGTCCCAGCTTCATCCTGCCTCAGAGTTGTGGGCTCTGGAAATGTTTGCTCTTGAAAAGCAGCATTATTAGGACTATCCCAGAGTAAATTTATGTTGGATAGTCTGGAACATCTCTCCCCTTGATTTCAATCTAACCCTACCCATCTGTGTCACAAGTTACTTGGAACAGAGAAATACTGAGAGATGCTTCATCTCTATAAAAATATTATTACAAAGAAATAGCTGAATGATGGTTTCATGAATGACAGAGCAATAAGAAGTTACGGAAAATAGTGGTAATGGCAATTTTAATGCACTGTTTCTCAACTTTCTCCCTGTATCCTCCAAAATGACTGCCTAACAGCAAAAAAAAAAATCACAGATCTATACAGACTTTTATTTTGATTTTGTTTGAATATTTTCTTAAGCACTGAATCCCGATGATGAAAACCAGCTGATTTCTGTCAATTCAAGTTGATTCTATTTTGAGACCAAACATCTTGCAACACGATCAGCAATTAAAATCACTTCTAATTTTTCATTTTTGTTCTTTGTGGTATGAACCTCACATATTATTGTAACACAAGGATCTGGTTTCACTTCTGTTCTTCTGAATAGATGAGGCTAATTCAGAATTGATCTCTGTAAGAATACTGAAGACAGAGATACAGTGACTATATAAATACTTCCACATTTGAATAATAAGGTTGAATAGCTTTAAGCAATCAGATAATTTTACTCTAATAATTTCCAAAAGTTAAGGGGGTTTTGACAAGGTGCCCTATCTTTAAAAAATGCTGCATGTCAAACTATGTCATGAGGAAGTAAGGAGGAGGGAGAATGACTTTCCTACTTGAAGGGCCCAGCTCAGATAGGGAAACCCAGAACCACCTGTCTCAGGTCAGGCCACTGCTGCTGGTAACCTATAATTTCACCTGATCTGTTCCTTGGCAAACAACATTGAAAACCCACATAAACTGCTTCTGTAACAGGTTAAGACAGAGGTCCCCATGTGGTATCTTCCAATGGATGTGGCCCCCTAAACGTGCTGGGGGAGATTTGCAGCTCTGGGAAAGGCACAGAGAGTGCCACAGCCCCTCCCTCGGCACTGGGCTGAGCACTTGAACTGAGGCTGCCAACCCAGCTTAACAGGAGAAAGGCTGGGGAAAGGCAACTCCAGAGAGTGCTGGGGAGGCATTTACTCTCACAGCATGTTTGCATCCACCCACAACTGAGAACAGTCTTTTCCCTGTGAAACAATAGGCAAGCAGATGGGTAGACCACAATGGCCAAAATAACTACCAAAATATCCAGAAGCAAAACATCAGTATTTTAATGGGCACTTAATGACAGATATCTTAAGATTAGAACCGCAACTAAGCATTTGGAACGACAGAGGTTTCATATTTTTATTATCTCACTGTTTCATTTCCCTCTTGAATTTTTAACACCCCAACGACTTGTGAGCTTGGATGCCTCTGAAAAATTTCAGCTGCATTTTGTATCCATTAATTAAAGCACTGGTTCAGTATATTGATGCTTTGTTGGCAGAATTCATCTAACAACAGAAATAAGTTTAATAGTAATGCGTTTGTTCACTGGCTGCAGCAGCAGTGCCTCTGCTGCTCTGAGGTATCACACAAGTGGCTGGCAGTGAGTAATGTGCCAGAAAGAGGCTTCACAGAATCCACAGGGGGCAGCTGAAAACACTGAGGTTTGAAGGTTCATAGTCTACCAAAAGCAAAGGTAATTTTAACCAGTAGCTCTGGGAAGCCTGCTGATACATTAGAGGTCTGTTATGACCGTGAAAGATTGACGATAGTGAAAAGCAAGAACAAATGTTACCATTTTACAGCATTTAGCCTAGTGTAACACCTCCACTGCAATACAACCTGCAGCCCCCAATGGCCAACTAGGGAGAGGAATTGAAATTAGTTCTGCTACTCATAGAATCACACAAACAACCTGAAGATTCAGCCATCATTACTACTTGTAAACTGTTTTTAACAGAACATGACACTAAAGATTCATTATTCTGACATTCAGGAACTACTGAAAGCATTGCAATGATCCTTTTAACACAGTGAGCATTTCAGGACATAGCTGTGCTGCTGGCAAGCAACTACCAGTGTGATTCTATGTTTCAGTTCCTTCCTGGATCTTTTTTACTATTAAGTGAAAACCAGCATCCTAATAGTATAGAGATATGCAACTTCCTAACTTCCTTTATTCATCTGAAGACACAGAAGTGGGATAATACAAGAAAATGAGCTAAATCATTGAGGTGCCTACATTTTTAAGAACAAAATCAGTAACTTCAGTGTTTTGCTTGCTGCATTTGCAGACCTGTGATAACCTCTAAGTCTGAACAGTAAACTCCTCAAATACAGTATCTCCTCAGAATCTGCTGCTGCTTTGGAGATCTCTCCCTTTAAAGATGCTGTAGATCCAGAAAGTGTTGATTCTTTATGCAAGCTTCCTGTTACTGGCAGGGGAATAGACATAATGGAATTGGGGTTAATACTGAGCAGGGAGCTGATTTGAAGGATCAGAGGCAAAGAATGTATTACAGAAAAGGGAGTTATAATATCAACAGTCCATCTTACTACCTAGATAAACATATAACTCACACATCTGAGTAAAGTTAACCAAGTGCATCAAGGAGTGGAATGAAATATAGTAAGCTGGTCTAATCTAGTTACTAGTTCTAAAATAGTTACTAGTTTTAAAAACTATCAAGCATTTTTAGGCTGGGAGAAAAATCTGCCTGGTAAATGTTAAATCTACTTACACTAAATAATGCAGTGGTTCATTCAGGACAGGTTTAACAGACCATAGTTTTAAAAATGGCCACAATAATTACTGACATTTCATGCACTGGCATACATATCAGAATTCAGGAAGGGGGCTAAAGAGGCCAAATTTCAGTAACCAAAAGACAAGTTTATGAATGACTCAGTGTCCATAAGATCACAGCAATTTTGTAATATAGAGTTCAATACAACATGCTTAACAAGGTCAATGTGCATGCACATTTGAAGACAGACAAACCACATCACAAACAAGCAGCATGGAGGTCCTTTCCAACCCTACTGATTCTATAATGTTCAGTTTTGTACTTATTTAATACAGCTATAGGAGATGTCTAAGTCAAAATACTGCACTTATCCAAAGTAACTCTGCAATCCAGCCCACAATGTGCAAACAGGCCTTCTACAAAAGTCAATCTATAAATATCTTGAGTTATTTTATGACAACACAATCATTTCTCTTCAGCTTTCAAACTACTGTAAGAGATCTCATGTTTCTGTACATAAAATACAAGAGCTATTTTAACACAGCTTCCTTGATGCCTGCAATGACTCAGCTGCAGATCTCCCTGCCAGCATTACTGTACACTGAGGGTGCAGGCTCTGAGTATGGCTGGGTATCTAAGTGGAGATTATTCTATTCACAGAATGGTGCTGCAAACCACCACCTCAGCACACCCTCTGCTGCACTGGAGACCCATATGGGAAAGGAGAGGAGAGTATCTGCACACATTTTCACAAGGTATTTTATTCTCCACAACCTGTGTGAGTTTATAGTCAAACTCCTCACATAACATAGTCTGTGCTGAGGACAGCAGTATCACAGAAATGACAGAAGTTGTCAAAACACAGAAGACCAGAATTCCATGCAGATGATTCTCTGCATTTGAGCATTTTAAGAAGATTGCAGGTCTGCTTCTTTGCCCTGCAAGAAGGGATCCCCACGGTGGTGGCAGTGCCTGCCTGGACAGCACACTGCAGCCTTACAGCACAACCACAGCAGAGAGATCAAGTGATTCCTTTTGTAACCAAAATATGAAAATACTTCTCTTTACATCCACTGAATGGCTAACAAAGAAAAAACCACACAGATCCATGAGTTGGCCTTAGAACTGCCATTTCACCAAAGAGCATAAGGCCTGGCATTCAGCCACTAAAACAACAGCAGCAAGAAAACCCTAACAGAGTTGTAGGGAAAAGAGTAGGAAGTCTTTGTTGGATCATATTCCCCTTTCTAATATAAAGTCTTCTGAAAACAAGACATTTTGTCAAGTTTGTGTCAAATCAACAATACCAAATGCCTCCATTTCCTCTACCCTTTGGTAAAAAATATTTTCCATTTCCAAGAAGATATCGGCATGACCATAGTAAATTCTTGACAAAGCTGTATAGAAAGAGTTAAGAACATGAAAAAACCCTGTCCAGTGCAGTTTTTTCATTTGTTTCAAATGGACCATCAGTAAAGATTCTAATTAAATCAGTATTATTCATAATTAGCGGTTAGAAGCTGTAGCTAATTAAAATTTTACTACATTTCTTTATCTCTGAAAGCCTGAATCTAGTTTGCTACTGAAATTTTTATAAAGCCTGTAAACAAGTATAAATTGCTACACATATGTTTGTAATTTACTAGGTTACGTGCACCAAAGGTTTATGGAATCATAAAAAGATACAACTTTGAAAGAAATTTCAAGAAAACTGGCATCAGAAACTGCAGAAGAAATCAATTTAAGAAGTGGTCTCTGCTAGTGACGACAAATCAGAAAGTCAGTCTCCTCTGTAGCCTAAGTTAACAGCTGACACAAACATTTTTTCTAGGCTGAATTCTGACATTAGGCCATAATTAAAGAGGGAAATGGGAAAAGAAGAGATGGGGAAAAAAAAGAAAATAAAAAATAACTCCTCTACCAAGACAAAGCCACCAACAGAAGAAACAAAGCTACCATCCTCCCCTCCTTCCCCACTCTGGATGATTCTTGCATCTGTAAAAGATGAGCTTTAAAGGGCTCAGGGGTATTGCACTGTTTTTAAATCTGGCACAGTCTTCAGCTTTTTTTAATTTCCAGCTCAGCCCTCACAACAATTCCCCTGCCAGGAGCCAAAATAATCCAGGGTTGAGGCAGTCTGCTCCTCTTTAATTCCCCAGCTTGTGCCTCAGAATGCAAGTCTGCTCTCCCACTCTCATTGCTGATCTCTGCCTTACTCATGAGCTCCTACTCCTCAGATTGGGATTTCCAGCTCCCTCTTCACACTCTCCTTCCATCTGCAGGCAGGAGCAGAGCCCACCTGCAAGAACCCAGGCCAGCTCTCCACAGCGCTGCCAGAGACGGCCGCTGCCTTCCAAGGGCAGCAAGAACAGCAGCACTTTGGGTGACACCCTGTGACAGCAGCAGATGTGCAGTGTCACATCTGACGGCCCCTCACGTGGAACCCCAGCACATCTCCAGCCTGGGCTCTGCGCTCCCCCCTCAGTCTCCTGCTAATGGCACTCTGTGTCTGGGGCTCCTGTTAACACCTCAGCAGCGACTCATGGGTTTGACTTTACCAGTCTGCACCAAATGTGGTAAAAACTGGAAGGCACAAAGGAGTAACCAAAGGCTCTTTTGGAGGACAGGAAAGTAAGGAGTGTCAGAAGTTTCCTTTCCAAAATATTGTATTTTTGGCCATTAACACATGTATCACTCCTACCTCAAATGTGGTACAAACATGCAATCAATGAACAGGCTTGAGCTCAGCAACCACCAAACACAGACAATTCAGTGAGGGAAAATAAATGTTTTTGTATCTAAAAAACCCCAACTTAACAGCAGTATGAGCACTATTTCCTACGCTTCTCTTTAAAGCAGATGTTACTCTATTTACAAGGTGTCACAGACATTTTTTATGGAAAATCCTTTTGCCAGGATCTTTTCTCCTGAGAAGCTGGGAAGCTTCAGCTTCTCCATGTTTTGCTGCTTTGGAATGTGGTTTGGAGAATTGTTTACCCAGCACGTGAAAGTGCTTTTACTTGATGACCAATGACAGCCACCTGTGTTGAGACTATGAGCAGTCACAAGATTTTATTATCATTCCATTCCTTTCTTTTCTAGCTTTCTGATGGATCCTTTCTCTCTATTCTTTTTAGTATAGCATTTAATATAATATAATATCATAATATAATAAATCAGCCTTCTGAAACATGGAGTCAAGAGTCTCATCTCTTCCCTCATCCTGGGACTCTCGAACACAACCACAAGGTTTTTCTCTTCTACAGAGATCCTCTTAGATTCTGTCATTCATCTGTTACCTACTTTTAAACTTAAAATATATGCCAAATATTTAGCTTTTCTTTTTTAAAAATTTCGTAATCATCCTAGTATTCACATGCTACTCAAAAGATGCAAATTACATGAAAATTTTGTTTGGATAGACATAATACACTGCTAGTTTTGTGTGCTAGCAGAGAATAAACTGAGCATTTCAGAAAGCTTTTTTCTATTCTTGTTTTTATAAGTTATCTGGGAATTGGTTTTTTTAATTCTGACCTACCCTCAACTATCTAAGCTTACACTGAGAAACGTCACCTTAATGGAAGCTCCTCTGAGAGCCCTTTGAAACCAGGTAACCAAGAGGTCATTAATGCTACTCATGCAGGCACACAGAATGATGAGATTCCTCCCAACACTGAATAAAGTTCAAGTCAATTTTAAAAAAATGCATCCGTATTATCACCTTATTTTTCCCTAGCATTTCTAGGTAACACTATTGTCTTAAAGACTTGCTCAGAGGTAGAAAATGTACACTAAATTATGCAAACAAAGGAGGGAAAATACCCAAAATATGCTGAAAGAAATATCTCAGTATTACAGTGTTTCTGTGTTTGTCCATGGTACTGACCATTTTTTTTATTAAGAACACCTTTACTATTTTTGTTATGACTAAAGAACATGGTCCTAACCCTTTTCTTCTTCCTCCTGAGTGGGCACAGTATTTCCACCATGTAAAATACTCTACCTGTCCAGCATCTGTACCTCAGAGAAAGCTTACCTAAAGAATGTGCAGCTGTGGTTTTGGAGCTGAAAAATCGACCAAGTCCAAGGTCTCCCAGCTTTACTACTCCTGTAGCTGTAATGAACACATTTGCTGGCTTTATATCTGAAAGAAAAGTAAATTTAAAAATTTAGAAGTCACAGTGAGGTTGCAAGAAAAGCTACTCTTCTATTAATAATAGACTCAAAGAGGATTTTATTTGCAGGAAATATTGTAAAATTTGACAGTGCTACTCAGAAAGAATGGGTCCGGAATGTAGAATTTCAAGTCCACTATTTTAATAGTACAACCATCACTCAAGCAAAGAAGAGCCACAGAAAGTATTTTTTTTAAGAAACAAGCAAACAAAAAAAACACACCTCAAAGTCAAGAAGCACATACATGTGAGTTCATTACTACTTTATATAAACTACATAGAGAGACCTAGATTAGAACTAGACAACCTCTTTTGTTATGTCTTAAGTAACAGCCTATATATGTTTTCAAGAGCTGTACAGCATTTTTCATCACTTTTGCTGATCAAATTACCCACAATGGCATAACGTCATTTATTTGAAATAGATAACTGATTCTCTGTAAGAGCAGGCATTAAAAAATGAAGCAAGTTTACTCAGGAGAATGGTTATTTGAACTCGTCAATGGAATTGGGCTAATCAAGTAGAAACAAAGAAAAATAATGATGCATACCCCAGACAGTTATTTTTCACAAGTAATATCCAGTTTAAGTTTTAATCCAATCCCTTAGAGACAACAGCAGAGACTCTTATTCTATGATTTCTAACAAGTTACCTACCTTGTTAGTCTCCTAAATAAACTGACCTGTTATTTGTCTGGCAAGGGAATTTAGCCCTTACTCTGCTGAAAAGCAATCCACCCTAGCCTTAAACTTACAGAAATCAGTTCACTTTGATAAGAGGGGATTACAGTTTGCATAAGATACAGGCACAGTAAAAGGAATGGTTAATAACCCTTCAAACACCAGCATTCTCAGGTTTCAGTAAAAAAGTTACAAAACCTTACAAGCTTTAGAGGAAGACAGAAGCAATTACGTTCTCCTGCTATCTGACCCAGATTTCAGGAGTTTGGCTAAGCCTTTGTGTAATAAGCCAACACGGATATTGCTCAATTTAAAAATAGTTTTAATTGCCATTGCTTTTGGCATGCAACCATGGAATCACTAGATTTGCCATAGGTTTGCCAGAAGCTTTGAACTTAGTATTTCAGTTTAAGGAACTTAAATCCTTTTGTTTTGAACTAAAATATACAGAAATTAACTAATTTAATTATAAAAATATTAAAGGAAGATACTTGCACCCTATGGAAAGAATCTGTATTTTATGTCCTTCTCTTTGTATCATTCGCACTTGCAGGCACCTGTACAAATGCACAAAGGGGAAAAAAAAGGAGAATCACAAGAGAAAAGCATTTGCAGGGGCAGGGGTATCTAAGCTCATCTGCTAAGGGTGCAAAATTTCCAGCTGCAAATGACAGAGCTCAGCAGACATCAAGGGACTATTCCTTCCAGGCAGTGAGCTGCATTCTAACACAGGGAGCCACCAACCTAAGGCAGGCAATGTCACCTGAACCTAAAAAGTGACAGTCCACGCACCACTCACAATCCCATAACCAGAGGGATTTCAGAAAGGGAAAAAGAATAGCAGGTCTAAGAAGAAGCTACACTATGATCTATTTTCTTTGACTCAAGAGTTATGAGGTAAAATGAAGACCACATCCAGAGGAGACAGCAGCACCAAGGTTGTAAAATGGGCCAAGGAAATTTAGTACCTGACAGGGATAGCTGGCAACTACAAGGGCTGTTGGGACACAGAGATTGGAAATGGTGGAAAAGAGCAGAGAACTGGAGGAAATGCTCACACCTGCACATAATCCAATATAGAAGGGACCAGGAGAAGGGCCTGTACATCACGAGCAAGCAGGGCAGGAGCAGATACTTTAAGACAACCAGGTGCAAGAGCTGTAAAGAATGGACTGACAGATCTGTGCAAGGCAAGGAGCAACACCTGGGCAAGACAACAGGCAAATATAGAAGAATAAATACAGGGCAGAAGATAAGAGCCAGAAAAATGAAGTAGCTATGGCAGGGTATCCATCACTCACAGAACTATCACTTATTTTGAAAAACCTGCTATCAAACAAATGCCTACCACAACAAATGTACAACCACAAACTTCTCTCAGTTTTCTATTACTTATAAAATCTTACAAAAACATACAACGTTTCAGCTGTCAAAACTGATTTCAGCCAGCTTAATTCTCACATAGTCAAAGGTATATTAAGGACAAATCATCTTTGATCCTGTATTACCTCTATGCATAACACGACGAGAATGCATATGTTCCAAGGCACTGCAAAGCTGAACAAAGTACTTCCAAACTGTTCTTTCAGGAATCAACCTCTTCTGTTTCTTAAAATGCTTAAAAAAAACATGGTTAGTGAATATTAAAAATTAAAACTTGCATAAAATTACTGAGAAAAAGAAAATACATAAAATTCTTAATTAAAAAATTAAAAAATACAAGAGGTTCACAACCTAATGAGAAAGTTTTAACAGAATTTCTTGACAGAGAAAGGTTTTCCCTTAAATATTAATGTATGTATCATCACTGCATATGCATAAGTCAGTCTACACACAGAGCCACAAATAACATTAATGAACTAAAACTCCTACCCCAAAAAAGGATTTATACAGTTTTTAGCACTCCTCAGTGTTGGATTAATGTGGTCAGAGTAATCTAATATAAAGTAGCCACAGAAAAAATAAAGGCCAGATATAAAGTTATGTGCCACAGAACGTCCCAAATTAAATACACTTCCTTACATCAAAATTGATTTCCATACCCACATTTTTTAAAATGAAGGACAAAACCAAAAAGAAGAGCAATATCACACAGTCACAAAGACCATGTAAGAAGAATTGGTCACATTAGTTTTTAAAACTTCTGCAGTACATGAAAGGGAATTAAAGGAACTGATTTCTGAAAACTTCACAGTGACATTACTCCTGTTCAAATATTTTCTGTCCTGTCCAAAACCCCATTCCTGATCACTGGTAACAGTTCACTGTCCTGTTAAAGCCAACACAAAACAATTACACACATCAGCTTCAAACGTGGTATTCAGCAACTGAATAACAATCCTCCAAAGATACCTACTGAAAACCTGAAATTCAGCCACTGTTAAAAGGTAAAAGTTTCATCATTATAAATTCTGCAGCTAAAAGGAAAAAGACTGAAAAATCATTGCTTGTTTAACCTATCTTTCCAAAGAAATTGTATTGTGTCACGTTTTGAAGTTCCACACAAGGAGAAAATACATAAATAACATTAAGACTAGCAAAATTTTAGACAGAAAGCAAAGTACTTGATGTATTTTAATTGTGGGTACAGACAGACTTCACACTCATGCACGCTTTAAGAAAGTTCACATAACAAACATTTATTAATTTGCAGAAAAACCTATTTTCATCCTATGTTAAAACATGCCACTGAGAAGTTGACAGCTGCATCTGCACATTACAGACACACAGGAGTATGAGAGAGATGCTTTTAAACTACCTATAGCAAAATGCATCAGTCGTACAAAGGATCTTAACATTCCACCAAATGTTTTTCGTTATAGGGATTATTTCAAAATGCATTTTCATTTAAATGAGGCAAAGCATATAAATTACGTCTTTAAATGTAATTTTCTTTCACTCTTGGACTGAATCCAAACAAACCCTGTGTATCTGTTCTCCCCATAGCAGGATTTGCATATCAGAGGATTGTTTGATGTCAACAGGAAGATGGAGACCAGGTTTCTTTTCATTTAAAAACAAATACACAATACATCTAAGTATGTGTACATGAAAGCACAGTTCCTTGATTTAAAATGCATTCTGAAATTATCATAATTATAACTAGGTACTTCATTTAAACATTCTGAATTATTATTTTTTAACTTGAATGCGGTGATGAAACGCCATTCACAAAATGCCTGAAATGGGAAGATTTTCAATTACACGTTCCCATTCCGATTCACCTAAAGTACAGCAGTGTACTTTCAAAGTATTTATATACAACTTTTCTTTTAACACTTTATTCACTTGCTATCCCTAGCTCTGAAGCTGAGGAATACTACAAAACTGGCTTCAGTCCTTACAGTGCAACGCTGCAACTTAAAGTGGTCTCACTCTGCTTAAGGCATTAATAATTTTGCAGGACAATAATAACCTCTTCCTGAAACATCAATGATATTACTTAACCCCAGAGAATTTATCCATCTAAAGAGGATGGAAAAGAGAGCTGCTAGATTTGCTAGCAATGTTTAAAACTAAACAAAGAAACAGGCAGCATTTTCATTTGTATGGGCTTAAAAATAATATAATTATCTTTAAAATAAACTCAATTAACATTATGTTGTCCAGTAATTAATTACTATTTTTCCCTCAAAATACACGTTCTCAATTTGTTCTTGGGCTGTTGTCTACCAATAGGCAAAATAGTGATGAAAAGACATGACCAAAAAGATAAATTTTACAAAACTAGCTATTGAAACAAGTTGTACACTTTTAGGAAACAGTCCAGTAGACACGCTTAGTTCTGAGAAAAGTCAAAAGGAAAATTCCATTTCTGTGTAGAAACTTACCTTCTAACAAGAAATGTAAGCTGATGGAAAACACAGGCAAACCTATTTTTATGCCAAACAGCATAATGAAATTCATACAGCATACATGAACTGTATTCAAAGCAGGATCCTTTCCTTTCTCCTTAATTAAAATAGTCCACAATGCAAAATGCAGTTCTAACAATTGTGGTGTTTGCTCCCTCCCTACAGGGAAGCCAAAATGCAGAAGATATGATGCTGCAACAACAATTTTGAACCTCTGTTGTAGCACAGCAAAGTAGCACCACAGTCAATGCTAAACTAATCCACTGCTTAGTGCCTGAAGCATGCCGAGGTCCACAGCACTCAGTTAACCTCATACAGCTCTCCCACTGTACACAGGTTGGCATCACCTGCCCAGAGCAGGAATACAGCCTGACATACAGCTCTCTCTGACGCGCTCTCACCTTCAAGACTTCATTATTCTCCTTCTTCCACCTGTCTTAGGCTCAAAGGACAGTCCTGATGTCCCTCAGACCACTGACCTTCTAGGGTGTGACATTAAAAAAACATGATCCTGTCTGAGGTGAAAGATCAATCTCCAACTAGCTGAAACTGGGCGAAAATGGAGCTGCTTGTACATGTGCATTAAAAATTTGGGCAGTGCTGCAAGCCAGTGCTTTGTCAGGTAAACAGAACATCAGGCATGCTGTGGCAGCAGGCTGGCTCCCTGAAAGAATTGTTTCAAAAGCCATATCACATGACATTTGCATTTCCATCTGAGAATGGAATTACAAAAAACTACTTTGAAGAGTCACCACAATGTCAGTACATTGTGACTAAAACTGCAATTCAGTCATTTAATACAACTGGACATTTTGGTGGTCAAACATTTGCTAATCAAATGCCTTAAAGAGCTTTAAGACAGGCAGGCTGTAACATCAGTTCATATTTTCATCCCTTTTACAGAATGACTGAACTCTCATGGTTCTCTAATGGATTTCTAAAGGAAAAATTAAATATTCTCCAAATGTTTCCATAATAATGAAATTAAACACGGCTGCCCTGCACCTAAACAGCAAACGCCATTCAGTTTCTTGACAAACAAAGCATAAAGGATAGATGGAGAAAAAAGTCTGAAGTCAACATAGAGGCATGAAGTATTTGGAATTATACTGACTTTCTAAAGATAATGTTTTAAAGGTTGAACTCCAGAAGTAAAAGTGACAGCATTAGCAGCTGGTCCTACCTAGGCCTAAAAGGCACAACTCAGACAACACTTACAGCAAAGACACAGGACTATGTTTGGATTTTCTAAGAAAACTAAGATTTCCTGCAGATGACTAGAGAGAGTGAACACAAATCATTTCCACACAACTAGAAATTCAGATATGACTGCCTACATTTCAATAATCCTGCTTGGACAAAATTTAGCATTCAGTTCCGATGCTGGTGTATTGAAGGATTTTAAGGTGTGATTTAGTCTGGTTTGGGTCTCACTGAATAGAGAAAAAATAGGAATAAATAAGAAAAAAGACAACATAATGAGTGTTTAAGAAGCTAACTGGAGTAAAGAAAGCAAGATGTTTATGAACTTCTCTTGCAGAGAGTTGATAAACTGATCGTCTAAACAATTCTGCAGAGTAATTATTAAGAAAAGAACTGTGGAACTGTCAAACAAGCCCACAAGAACATATATCTGAATTTTTCCCTGCAAATGCTATAGCCTAGAGCTGTTTTTGAAAGACAGTATTTGGAAGAAAAGTAAAATGAGAATGATGATTTCATTACTTTAAACAGATTTCTTCCTTTCTTTCATGATGCCGTAAGAATCTTCATCACATCATTTTGTTCTCATGACTTCATTTACAGCTGACAAAAATATAAAGCATGGAAGGTTTTTATATTTTACTGTATAAAATTACAACACAGTGATTCAATGACCAGATACTAGTGGAAAGAAATCTGACCTGCACCAAGAGGAAAGAGATGCAAAATGATTATACAGAAGTTCTGAGTAACACAATAAAGCTCTTGACCACTTCTGACTGTATTTCTTTGGGAAATTTTTTTAATATGGACAAGCACAAAGAACAAAGAGAAAGAGGAGGTCAGGCAGCCGTAAGAGGAAATTATGGGAGCACAAGCAAGAGCTCTCACTCTGTGAACACGACAGAAACAAACCACAACAGGCAAGGGCAATGCAGGGTCAGCAAGACAGGCCAGTGAAGATGGGCGGCAACATCCCAATATTTTGGAGACTCATGAATATAGAAAGGAAGTCTGTACCCAAGTCTTGTTTTCTGTTTTAAAAGCAATATAATTCTAGTAGCAACACAGCATCTCAGGAGTTTTGTCTGTTCTTTGATTAATTCAGCTGCCCATCTGTTTAGACCATGGCAAGTTTTCTGCCATTTTTCTTTGCTCTCTATGCAGAACAAAAATAGAACTTCCCACCACATCCTGATTCATTCATTCAGTTTGATATACAGTGTCATCAAATTTGCCTACATTTCAAGAGTAGCAGCTGTCTCTTACTTGCAAAAAGAGAACAAATACCAAAAAAAACCCACCCAAACTATTTTTCATCTATCAACTGAACATACCAAAAGCAGCAAGTATTCAGCCAATAAAGTGATGAAAATAAAAATATTTACCTAGTTTGTTCTCCAACTTTTATTAACAGTTGCTTATATCTCCACTTACTGAAGATGCCATACATTTATTTTTTACCCTTTCAGAATTCCCAAAAAAAAGGGTTAAAAAAAATTAAATCTTCCTTTATCAGTAGTCTTAGCATACAGCAAACTTCATTTCATCAAGAACAAC